AAAAAAAAAAAAAAAAACCAAACACCAAAAAACTCCCTTTAGTTTAACAAAGCTGAACTTTTGAGAAATGACTCTGAAACCTTGTGAATGTCACAGTACAGGTTATGGTCCCAGAACAGACATTACTATCATCATTTTTTGGAGCAAACATTAGACGGCATTTCAATAGATATACCTGAGAAATTCCTTCTTATCCAGAAACAATCTGTTTAGTTCCCAAATATTATATAAATAACATTTGCTTGGAAGGACAATGAGGATTTTCATTTCAGGGATACAAAAACAATGTTGTGTTCATAATAAATATAAAGGTATTATAAACTTCATCCTATGTTCCCACAAATAAGTATTTGCTTAAATTAACATAAACACACACACTCCTATATGCTCTTCCTTCCTTTTCCTGTATTGTTCTGGCCTTTATTCAGGTCAAACTAACCTCCCTGGATCTAGCTCCTCAGGTTGCTAGGTAGATATTAAAAGTGTGCTGAGCCCAGGTGTGGTGGTGGATCACACCTGTAATCCTAGCACTCTGGGAGACTCAAGAGGGTATTTGAGACCAGCCTGAGCAAGAGTGAGACCCTGTTTCTAAAAGTAGCTGGGCACTGTGGCAGGTGCCAATAGTCCCAGCTACTTGGGAAACTGAGGCAAGAAGATCTCTTGAGTCCAAGAGTTTAAAGTTGTGGTGAGCTACGACACCATGGCACTCTACTGAAGGTGACAGAGTAAGACTGTCTCAAAAAAAAAAAAAAAGGTGTGTGAGTGGGAAAGTCTGATAAAAATTTAAAATGGCTAGAAGATGTTTTCAATTAACTCTTAGACTCCATCATGTCTAAAAATGGGGAAACCTATGTTCCCAAGTGTTGCTTAGTCAAATACCCCTCACATATGTTATTGATCTCACCTTCGATACAGCTTGGACTGTCCAAAAGTCATAATTACCAATGGTACATGGAAGGTAGTCAAGACTAGAATGACCTGGAGAGAGACAAAAACATTCTGTAAATAAGATATTCCAATTACATGTTTATGTGCGATGAAATTAAGTCAACACCCGAAATATTTTTGCAAGTTCTATCCTATAGTAGCCTATATTGTAATATATTCCCAAACCAAGAGGGATCAAGTCACTAGGGCTTACAATGATTCAAGAAGTCCTCGGCTCATTTGCTGCAATGATCCCTATCGCTTACACTTGAAGCAGTGAGGCAAAGCTACTCAAACACACATTATAATAAAAGAAGTATTTAACTATTTTATATTCAAGGTATTCTCAGGCAAGAATCATTTCTTTTTTCTGCTTACAGAGGCTAGTGTGTGTGTCATAGAGGTCACTATGTCACATATATCTATGTTTCCTTTTCTTTTCCCTACTGTTGGTTTTCTATGAAATTTATTTTTAAATAATTATTTTTCTACAGAAAAATGTGAATGAGGAAATGATTCTGGATAGATTTATAGTGGTCTAGAGAGTCTCAAAAAGCCATATGATAAGACAAAAAAGATAGAGACTTCACATCTTTTGTATTAACCTGCACTGAGGTGAAGAATATTCTTTTTAGTAAAGTATCACAAGAATGGAAAAGCAAGTATCCAATGTACTTAATATTAATATGGAACCAAAAGATAACTATACTCCCACATGAGAGAAAAACATAAGTATATTCAAACGGGGGGAAGGGGTGAGAGAGGAGGAGGGAGAGAGATTGGTGTACCCCACCTAATGGGCACAATGTAAGGGTATACAGCACATCCCCTGGGTGAAGGGCTCAACTTTGACTTGATCTTTACCTAACAAATGCAGACAGTGTAACCTAATCATTTGTATGCTCATATCAATCTGAAATAAATTAAAAAATGTTTTAAAGCCATAAAATAAGAAATCTTGACGATATCAACTATCTCAGAAATTAGGATATAACCCCAAATTTTAGAAGACACTAAGACACACTTAAAGAAATTCTACTGGAAGCTTAAAAATTAATTAAAACAAGATATTCACAATTTATTTTTCAGTACGGAATTTTATTTCTTTTGGTTTCTGATACAGCTGTCAAATGCCTCAATGTTAGTACCTATCCGCTACTGGAATACCAGGGAGCATGAGACTGCCCTGATTTTGTTCAGGCAGGATAATACCAGAGCCACGTAATACCGAGCCCTGAGTTGAGAGACCTGGGACCAATGTGTCCCCAGCATATGCTCCAGGGGGAGACCAGCTACATAGTAGGAAGGACAGGAGCTGAGTGAATCTCCTTCTGCTCCCCCAACCCTGGCAGTACCTTCCCTCTGTGGAAGGGGCAGGCACAACAGATGGAGCTGAACAACTGTGTGCCCAGCCCTTCAACACAACTGTGGAAAAGGACATAGGAATAATACAGTTTGGAGGAAAAATACCAAGATGCATAAGGCACATTTTCTGCTTCTAAACAGGAGTTTCCCCAAGTATTATGAAGATCCTATCTTAACATACAGCATTCACTTTCCTCTTTCTTCTTGCTCATCTTGATGCGAACACCACCAAGGACTAAAGGTATCTATCTTTCCACTAGGGAAAAAGGTGGTCTCATAATGTTCCCAGTTCTAAACCAGCTACAACTTTCTGAAAGTCTGTCCTTCAAACACATGCATTTTCTACAAATGAATTTGGAGATGGTTTCAGAAAGTAATGACGTTAGGTGCTTAAACTCCCCAAATCTATATCATCTTCTTGCCAGGCTGAAATAACCAATTCAAAATATGACTTACCCCAGTGCTATCTCCAACCCAAGATAAAGATACTGAGCCTCTGAGATCATCAAACACATGCTATAAGGAAAAAGAAAATAAAATTAATTTAGAAATGACATCATTTTCCTTTAATTATTTACTTCCTTAAGTAATTCATAACTCTATTACAGTTCAGAGTGATTAAGTTCATAGTTATAGGGGGATATGGATTCCCAGAACACAATTTGGGAGAGAGGGGATTTAACTACTTAACCTGAATCACAAATAACTTGGAAATTTAAATTCTCTCTCATACAAAATAAGCCAAGCAGATGAGTTTTCTTCACTGCACCAGATGGGGAGATGGAATAATCTAATTGCTTTCTCCAAAAGAACGAAATAAAAAGATATAGCAATGTATTTTTAGGATGCTTTAAAACAAGAGATCAGAGCCCACATTGACAGACATAATTGTAACCCAATCAGCATAATTGAAATTTTTCTGGGAAGCCTTCACAGTATAGCTGAATAATTAGTAGCTGGATTCCTTCTGCTTCTAGGCTAACTCACTCAAAATGACAAGGGGCAAAATGAGAAGCAAAAGCCCTTGTTTTATCTTTTTATTTACCACTAATGGCAATAATAATAATAACAGAACAATCTTAATAGAGTTGCAGTGAGAGCAGAGAGACAAAAAAGGGGAAGGTCATATATGAAAAATATGGTAAGCATGCTAAAATATAGTTATAATAATCATTGTAGGCATTTTCAGGTTTTGTTTTTTAAATACTTCCTTTTTCTTTTTATTAAATAATATATATTCATCATGGAAAATATAGACAATTATAAAGAAAATATGTCATTCGTAACCCTTCCATGTAGAGATATTCAAGGTTAACATTAGATGCACAATTTCACAGTCTCTATAATTTTTTTTTTGAGACTTTGTTGCCCTCAATAGAGTGCCATGGCATCATACCTCACAGCAACCCCAAACTTTTGGGCTCAAGCCATTCTCTTGCCTCAGCCTCCCCAGTAGCTGGGACTACAACACCTGCCACAATGCCCAGCTACTTTTTTTAGAGATGGTGTGTCACTCCAGGTCAGGTTGGTCTTGAACTCCTGAGCCCAGGCAATCTGCCTGCCTCAGTCTCCCAGAGTGAGCCTTCTATAACATTTTTAATGTATAAAAAATTAAAAATTCCAAAGAGGCAATACCAGCACTTGGTAAAAACTTCTAATCATTGATCCTGCAATTCCTCTACTAGTTGTATATCTAAAAGACCAAAAATCACTTTATAATAAAGATATTTGCACCAGATTGTTCATTGCAGCTCAATTCATAATAGCCAAGTCATGGAAGAAACCCAAGTGCCCATCGACCCATAAATGGATTAATAAATTGTGGTATATGTATACCATGGAATATCATGCAGCCTTAAAAAAAAGATGGAGACTTTACCTCTTTTACAGTTCACATGGATGGAGCTAGAATATATCCTACTTAGTAAAGTATCTCAAGAATGGAAGAAAAAATATCCAATATACTTAGTACTATTATGAAACCAATTTACAATCACCCACACTTTCATATGAAGAATAGATTACAACTATGGCCCAAGAAGTAGGAGGGAGGCGGGGGGAGGGGAGAGAAAGGGAAGGTCAGCTCAAGGGAGGGTGAATGGTGGGATCACACCAACAGTGCATAATGCAAGGGTACATGCTGGATCTATTAGTATAGAGTATAAATGTCTTAACACAGTAACTAAGTAAATGAGATGAGGTATATATTAACCAGTGTGATGTAAAGCATTCCTAATTCTATATGAAATCAGCACACTGTATCCCATAAATGCATTAATGTATACATGATCTATGTGATTTAATATAAAAATTAAAAAAAACTTCTAATCATACAAAAATTACACACTATATACAGTATACACGTGTATAACAAAGATCCTTCCCTTTTCAGCCACATGCTCACCACTCCAAGCCCCATTCTTTGCAGGGTTTAATAGTTCAGTGTATATTTCTACTAAATGTTGATGATTATCCTTTTTTAAGATTTATATCTTAAGATTTAAAAATTTTAAACATGCTTTGCCTTCCCCCAAATGAGAAACTCCTCACAAGCAGAGGATGTAACTTCATACTTCTTGGTACTCCCTGTGCCTACCGCAAGTACTCAGTAGCATTTGTAGAAAATAATTATATATCCTTCCCAACCCACAAACTCAATCTCAAAATAGAAGATAAATGGTGGGATGCCAACTACTTGGTCACTAAGCCACCAATCTCAACAGAGAAGTCCGAAGAACTCAAAACATAAACTATTATATTTTGCTTGTCTTCTAATTTTCTCTTGTGATCTTCCTGAATGGGCCTCTGAATTTTACCTTTGCTGTCTTCCCTCTGACTGTAAGTACCTTTGAGGTCAAAAGGAACTCTTGTATAACCTCTGTAAGTAGTATAATCAGCATCTCACATAACTCTCAAATGCTCAGCACGTGTTTCTCATAGCTGCTGCAGGACAGAAAGGCTATTCAGAAACGCAGACTCACAAAGCATCTGAGAAAAAGTAGGGCTGCTAGAGACACCTGGCACCAGAAGTTTAAAAGCTGACACAGACGTGTATCTTATAGTAAAGTTTACACTGAGGAAGACCGCATGGTCTCTTGGGCGAGGATATGGTATCTGAAATTTTTAATCACCAAAATGTGGAAACAGCCTAAATGCCCACCAAACCAGGTATGGATTAACAAGCTGTGGTATATGTATACCATGGAATGCTATTCAGCCATTAAAAAGATGGAGACTTTACATCTTTTGTATTAACCTGAATGGATGTGGAACACATTATTTTTAGTAAAGCATCACAAGAATGGAGAAGAATCCTATGTACTCAATTGTGATATGAGGACAATTAATGATCTAGTACATGGTGGGGGGAGGAGGGGAGAGCAGAGAGAGGGAAAGGGGGGGGCATGGTGTGTGACACACCTTTTGGGGGTAGGACACAATTATAAAAGGGATTTTACCTAACAAATGGAATAAGTATAAACTGGTTCTTTGTACCCTCAATGAATCCGCAACAGTAAAAAATAATAATAAAATAAAAACTGACACAGATGTGTATCTTATAGTATATCTGACATTGAGGAAGACTACACATTCTCTTGAGGCAAGGACACAGTGTCTCAAGTTATATCGGTGAGTAGTTTCTTAAGGAGGAGCTGGACTATCTAGAGCTACCATGAGCACCAGACCGACCACATAGGCTAAAAGTAATCTAAGTGGGAGGATTCTGGTTATGACAACTGACTAGGATAAAAGAAAAATTTCATCAGCTCTGCCACTGGAGTTCATGGTTGTCTTGATGAGACTATAAGGTAGTCAGTCTCAAGCAAATCAGGACTTACAGCTTTTACCTCTCAGGTGATTCTCTATAAACCTGACCTGCACAGTGCAGATCAGCATTATTCACATTTTCCTATTGCACAATCACAGAACGGGGAGGATTACTGGATGTCACTAGCAACTCAGTTTCACCCAACAACTGAAATGATAATTGACCTTGTTCATCATCTGGAGTTTCTTTGGAAATATAGGCCAGATTTAAGGCTAATACAATTGTGTTAACCTTCTCTCCTAGCCCCCAATAACCAATTAATGTTTGCTTTTGAAAATCTACAAACTCTTTGAAAAACTCACCCACTTACAGCAAATTTTTTAAAATACTTGTCTCTACCATATTAATACTAGTGAAAGTTTAAAAAAAAATGAAATCAAGTCTAATTGTAGGCCAAAGCTCATTGGAAAGAAAAGGACATACGGAAAAGAGATCAACAAAGGAGAAGTGGGGGACCAAGAGTCCACACTCAATCCTGCCCCTTCAGTGGGAGAAGGAATATGGACAGCCTGGTCATGGTTAGGAGAAAGAATTCAGCAGAAAACCCCCAGTACTAATCCCTAATCATTTACCATATTTAACACAATTTATATGCCATTCTACATTGTGGTGGCATCTTAAATCTTTCAAAATATGTATGGTACTTTTATTTATTTACAGCAACAAGACCCTTGTCTGTCCCCCTCACTAGATCCAAAGCCCATCTGCTGAAGGCATCAAGCCTACACATTTTAGAAACTAACATACAGCATGGCGCAAAGTCAGCACTCAATAAATACTGAGTCCATTTTTTTCTTTAAGAACTACTTGTAGGCTCGGCGCCTATAGCTCACCCGGCTAAGGCGCCAGCCACGTACACCTAAGGTGGCAGGTTCGAATCCCCAGCCCGGACCCGCCAAACAACGACGGCTGCAACCAAAAAATAGCCGGGGTTGTGGCAGGCACTGTGGTCCCAGCTACTTGGGAGGCGGAGGCAGGAGACTCGCTTGAGCCCAGGAGTTGGAGGTTGCTGTGAGCTGTAATGCCATGGCACTCTACCCAGGGGGACAGCTTGAGGCTCTGTCTCAAAAAAAAAAAAAAAAAAAAAGAACTACTTGTAAAGTTCTGAAAAGAATGATGAAATGAAAAGCTAAGGCCAGACTTATTTAATTTCCCCAAGACAGAAATGAATATGAAATGTAAAAGTTCTATTCTGAGAGGACTTTTGCTATGGGCCAAGACAGAGTGACAGGGATCAGATTTGCCCTCCCATTTGAAATAACTAATTAAAAAAAAAAAAACAGAGAATGTATGAAACACAGTCGTTAAGTACTGGAGGTAAAGAGGGACAATGACCCCTGAAAGACAATAAATGAACAAAGAAGACCCTACAACTGCCCTGCTTTCCTGCCTGGACAGAATTTCCAGGCCATAGTTTAGGGAAGGGAATGCAGACAGAGGTCAGAGTTCTCTCTAAATTGAAGAGATGAAGCTGGTAGTCTGGGAAGACCAAAAGGTCAGAGTTGGCTAGTGAGGACAGAGTTGCAGAGAGAGAAGGGAGATCTCTGGAGATCTTGCGGGGGCCGGGGGGGGGCGGCTCCCCAACCACACACTAAGTCTTCTGCCTAAACACTGATTAGCACACAAATTACCTGATGCCAGGGAATGAATTACCTGAAAGGATCGGAGAGAACACTATATGGACCTC